TCAAATGCAGAGTTTGGCGCAGCGCAGAGTAACGCGTCGTGTGTGTGTGTGTGTGTGTGTGAGTGAACGTGTGTGTGTGTGTGTGTGTGAGTGAGAGAAAGAGAGTGTGTGTTCTGTATTCAAGACATTAGTGCTGTCATGTCGTGTAAATGGTCGTTCATCAGACGCTAAGAGATCTAATCCATTACACACACCACTCTCTCTCTCTCTCTCTGTGTGTGTGTGTGTATGAGAGACTAGATTGACTTCAATGTGTGTTTTATCTGTGTTTGTTCTCAGAGAGATTTTCATTGCTCTTTCGTATCTCATGTAGGGCTCAGTTATGTTTTGAGTGTCTCAGATGTTTCTCAGGAGGAATAAAAACTAAAGTAAAACTCAAGTAAAACTAAAATTAAAAAACCTAAACTTTTCATTTTAGCTAATTTTTTAATTTTTTATTTAATTTAGTTTAAGTTCTAAATTAACTAAAACTAAAATAATAAAACTAAACTTATTTAATTTTTAGCTCAGCATTTCTCATTTTATTTTAATTTAAATTCTACTAAAATAACTAAAACTGAATATGCTAAAACAGACCAATGTTCAATAAATAGTTATGTTTATTAATAGTAATCCTATTGCATTTACTAATATTACTCATAGTACATTTGTTCATCGTGATCACATTCTTCTGAAAAGTAATATAGTCCATTGTTCTTTAATAACTGCAGGCTGTAGCAGGTTGCTGCATTAATGCGTCACAGGTGCGTTTATCTGCATTTTACAATGGGTTTAATGTCAGAACTATCTGTTTTATAATGCAGATTTTAGTAGAACAGATTGAAAGTGTGTGTGTGTCTGTGTGAGAGAGAGAGAGAGCGAGACACATCTGATGAATGATGGTTTGAATGGAGACTGACATTTTCCAGAGAAACACCTTCACAGACATCAGGTGTGTGTGAGTGTGAGTGTGTGTGTGTGTGTGTGTGTGTGTGTGTGTGTGTGTGTGTGTGTGTGCGCGTTTT